CACCACCCTGCCTGCCAGCACCCCCAGGGACATCCTTCTGACGGCCACAGCAGGAAGAGTCTGGGCTCACACAGATGCCAAAGGGGCAAACCTGCTGGGGCAGAGCACTTGGGGGGCTCAGCTACTCCAGGGCTGGGAAAGGAGCAGTGCACCCCCCAGGCAAGACCTGTCCCCCACATCTGGGTGGTGTCACCCACCATCTGCGGGCACAGCAGCATACGGGTCCCCTCAGTCATGTCACATTGCCCTCGGGGACCCCCACCCTTGGCACAGCCACGGGACAGCAGAGAAAGGAGGGTGCTAGGCACAGGCAGCCAGGCCCAGGGGCTCAGCTCCCCTCCAGCAACCCCGGGTATCAGTAGCCCCAGTCCAGGACCCCCTGGACAAGGGATGGAGCCAGGGGCTGCAGAGGAAGGGCAGTCCCCCAGCTGGGCATGTGGCCTGCAGATTAAAGTCCTGCTCAGCCCTTTCCCTGGCAGTTGTGCACCCCATCTCTGAATACCCAGGTTGGACAGTTCCACGGGTGGGTTTCCCCGTGCTCCAGGACCCCACCATGTCCTCTCCCCTGGACATACAGGCCCGGGCTTCCCCAGGCTCCCTGGCGCAGCGGGGGCTCTCCCGGCTGGCACCATGCCCCGGTCCATGCCCATCAGTACGTCTGGGGGGTGAGGATGAAGAGTCGGTCTTCCTCCTTGCGAATCCACTTCATGAGCTTGTTGACAGCACTGATGGCGCCAGCCTTGGTCCCCAGGGGACTGTAGCATACGTAGAGCTCGAAGGCGCTGGTTACCTGGGCGAAAAAACAGGGGAGAGGCTGGAAACACTCCGTGCGCCACTTGGGGCTGGTGCTGCATCTTTCTCCCACAGACCACCAGGAATTGGCACAGAGGATCCAGTGCAGGGGTGCAAGGTGGCAGAAGGGTACCCTAAACGGGCAACATCTGATTTGCTCAGAAGCAGGAGGACCAAACCCCAGGGCTTTCCACCAAAGCAGATTTTCTCCACGGCACTGGGAGTTCACGACAGAGCAAGGCACAGCCCTCAGTGTGGGAGCTCACCAACCCCCTGCTGCTACCCCCGCTCATCCCTCCCTGGCTCAGGGGTGCCCAGGGAGCACACTGACCCCCAAAAGGATCATGCCATGGGCTGGGGGCCAC